AAAAGAGAGAAGAGCCGAAGATTGTGCGTGAAGAGAAGCGGATGATACGAGCGACGAGGATGAATCGCAAATTAAGCGCACACCGAGCAGAGAAATGAGAAATAAGACGATTCCGATGTAAATGTGGTGGTAGTTAAGTGTGGCGAAGCGATAGAGAAGAAGGAGAAAGCTGGTGGGCGCGTAAGCTTTTCAGAACGGATAGATAAACGGAGAGAACGAAGAGGCAGAGGCGTGGATGAGAGATCACGGCGGTGATGGAAAAACCCCGTATCCACCCCATTGGTGGTGAAAAGATTCAGAGAACGGTTTCTTTACGCTTACTTCGGAATTACTGTCGAAATCCACGAAGTATTCTTCGTTTATATTGGGAGGGGGAATATCTGTCCTACGCGGAGAGGAACGTGGACGAGTTAATAAGTCGTCTCTGGAGAGATGTTGGTTGAAATAATAATAAATAGGTCGGTGCTAGGTAGTAGGGACAGCTCTTGAAAAACTTCGAAACTCGGGAAGGCTGAGAAAATCGACGACTTGCCACACCGTTCGAAATCCCCGAGATTTCCCAGCCTTCCCCTTCGCGCTACGAAATCCCTCCCCCCCGAATAGGATCGATTCGAGAGGGAATCGAGGGGGACGCAGGGCTGATAGACTCATCACCACCGTGCACCTTTCACCGTTTTCCACACGCTCCTGTTCGCGTCCGGCCTGTTTTGGCGGGGCAAGGCGGTGGCGCGCGAGCAAGCGTTTCCACGCCAATGCTAGCGCGTGAACGTGAGCGTGCGCGCTGGCCGAGCGTGTGCATCGCCGCCGCTGTACCGTTTTAGTAACGGAGCGCACCGGTGCGCACCGGTGTGCATTATCTAACACTTAAAATTAGACGGCCGATGGCCACGGCGAGAAGAGAGAGATCCTCTCTCTCTCTCTCTTTCTCTCGTCCAATCCGCGGATTCGTCGTTTCGATTTCGCGCGAGCGACGCTACGTCGGGATGCACACGAACAGAAGAATTGGAAGAAATTCACCAAACACTCGATTCGATACGATATCACACGTGATATACTTGGCCGAAATTTCCCTTTCTCCAGTTCTTTTTTCTCTTTTCCTTGCCCCACTCTCACTCTTTCTCTCTCCTTCTCCTTCTCCTCCTTCTCCTCTCTTTCTCTCTCTTCTCCTTCTGCGTTTCTTTCTTTCTTTCTTTCTTTCTTTCTTTCTTAATATTTCTCTCTTTTTTTCAGAAATCGATCGATTACGCGCGTTTCATTTCTTTCTTTTTTCTTTTTTCTTTTTTTTTTTTTTTCTAACGAACAAAGTCTGGAGTTCGAGAAGGTTGGAACGAAGCGATGGCGATCACTTTGCAGAAACTGGGACACCAAGAGATGAGATAATGATACGCGACTAGGTATTTCCACGGCACTATCTCTGTATATAGACGCGTTTAGCTATATTTTATGTATATATGTATATATATATATTTATATTTCCGGATTCACGATTGTCACGGTTCTCGTGGTCACACGTTTCCTCGATACGAACGGTCGTGCAGTGTTATCGCGTCGATGAGGGTGGTGATAAGAATAGGTGACGATTAACCGAGATTATACCGAGACGCACCGCGTTCGTCCGGGCCGGTTGGCCGCCCGTCTTAGAGTGAATGTCTTATTAGTTATTTCTGGCCAGCTACTTCGTCGCTCTGTTCCACCGCCTCCTCCTCTTCCTCCTCCTCCTTCTCCTCCTCCCCTTCTTCGTCTTTTCTTGATCCTCTGCCCGAGCTTTCGCACCCCTCTCTCTCTCTCTCTCTCTTTCTCTCTCTCTCTTTCTCTCTCTAGCTCTCTCTCTCTCCTCCACCTGGTCCCGTTTCCTTCCTCGATGCCTCGATGTACGATGGGGCCATCGGTGTCGTCGAGCACGATCCCCTTTCAACGCCAATCCCTCCTCAGTCGGTTCTGCCCCCTGTGCTGCTCCACCATCGTCGTCCTCGAGGACACTTTTCCCGACCGTCGAGCGTCCTTGAACTCGGATCACTCGCCATTCTCGTTTTCAATCGTTCCGCCGCGATTTCGAAATTCGCATGCCAATTGGCGATAAACGCGCGTGTCTTCATCACCGGATAAAAATGGATCGGATCGGATCGAATGAATCGGTGTTTCGAAAGTGCGACGACGAGTATCCATAGCTTCCTACTTTCCGTCCATCTTCGCCGCGCTTTCGTAAATCATCTCGCGTATTCTCAGTGAAATATGTATATATATATATACATTTCGTTTTGTGCAATTGTTCGGGTGATCTCCGTTTATTCATCCGAATGAGCGGATGAAGAATCGCATTGTCATGGTTGGTGTCGAAACAAACGGCACGATCGTCAAAATCTTCCCTCTTCGAAAAACTGTGAACATGTTCGATTACCCGGAAATCATCGAGAGCCCTCGTTTCAATTCTCCTCGAAGAGGGAGAGACGGCTCGTACATTGCTTTCGAGTTCGTTAACTTTGGAGACAATCTCCCCGAGATTTCAAAGTCGCGGTTTCTTCTCTTCCGAGAGGGGAGGGATATCACGTTCAATAATAATAATTGGCCATCTCGTGGCCCAGCCATTTGCCCCGCGCAAATCGCAAAGAGCGATTCACCACCGACTTTTCCTCGATTAAAGTTTTCCTTCGGATTTATCATTTCTGCGGAGATAAGCCGGATCTTTTAATATTCTCAGTGGCTCGTGGCCCGTTTAACGGGCAAAACTTTTCACCGGTCTCGTCACCTGCCTTCCTCTTCTCGCCGTCGATATCTCGTCATCGCGAGAAAACGATGTTTCTCTTCGTAAAGATTGATAATAAGAGACAAAGACAGAGGAAGAGAAAATAGAGTAATACGTTCCGCAAAGCGTTCTCTCAATCCATTCATTCAACGAGAAGAGAGGCTTAAAAATGACAGAATGGATCACAATCTGTTGGAAATTAATTTAAAAAAATTAATTCTCTCAATCGTAAGATTCTTAATTCTTCTCGTAATAGTAACGAAGGCAAGAAGCTAACCGTTCGGGAAAAGGGTTCGTTTCCCTCTTTTCGAAGAAGAGATTGATCATTGGAACGCGTTCTCGTGGACGAATCATCCCCCGGAACGACTTACGTAATTCATCGTATCGGTGGACGCAAGAGTTCGCGGTTTTATTTTCAACGAGGTGAACCGACGCGATGAAATATCGACGGTCTGCTCTTGACTTTGTTTCGAGGCTGACACGACGATCTATCTTCTGATTGGATGCGATACAACGATACCCAGGATGCCAGCAACGATCCAAACCGCGTATAGTTTGCGGTCTCGCGACCAACGCGTCGCAGCCGATCCAATGACAGAATCATAATTAAACGTTGAATTATTATCGGTCCGTTGTCCCGTCGCATCAGTCGATTCACCTGCCCGTGAAAATTTTTCGGTTAAATCAACAATTTAAGGGGAAGAAGGGAGAAATCAAATTTTCCGTCCGAAATCCGTAAAATCCAATTGTCTCGTCGGGATGCTCCGTTTGTTCCGTCCTCGTGTTATTTCTCGAATATATTTCGGGGAGAATATAATTTCGAAACGTTCGATCGTAATTCGAGACGAAATCGAGGATCATTTCGCGCGTAATTCTTCGACATTCTGATTCCTCTTTATTATTTCGAACGATAGTCGGATGTAGGGTAATTTCGACGCGTTGATTCGTACGGTTGTGAAACGGGGGATGGGGAGGTTTGAAGCATAGTTGTTTGGTATTTTCTGACTCATAACTCCATACAAGCACCACACTAAAAATAAAAGCGAAGCGTTAGATGATCAACGGAGGAGACGCGATGTTGGCGTGTTCCTCTCTAATTTTAACTCGACGTAACTTTCTCGAGATTAACAATGTTGCGTGCAACTTTCCCTCCCCCAACGTAAACAGCGTTTACGTCGATTATGCGCGTGTCGCGCTTCGATCTCGGGCGACTGGTTTTCGGCGATCGACGATATCGCGAAAGTTTTCAACGATTTCAATGAAATAGAAGCGAATACGTTGATCTTGATATTAACGGAAAGAATTCGTTTCAGAAATCGATCCTTCGACGAGTTTCGATGGGTTATAATTGGCGATCGAAGCGAGAAGATTTAATTTTTCGAGAGCATAATTTGAGAAAAATTCGAGGGGTATCGAGTTTTGTAACGGAATGTAACGTTGATTAACCGATTAATAATCCGTTTAATCATTCGCCACGGAAGGAAAGTTCCGTCGAGATAATTTCATGGCCACTTAGTGGGATTACAGTTGCAATTTCAAGATGAGGTTTCGTTAGCTCGGCTCATTAGTTGTCCACACGTGTCCCACGATAAATAGCGCGACATGATTCATCACGCTCTCACCGGCTGTTGCCGAAAATTTCAAAATAATCTCCGCAGATCCTCGCTTCTAAGTTCATTTCCAAAAAAGAGAAAAAGAAACAACTTTCGTCCATCAGAATTGTTCTTCTCGAGATTAAATTAAAAGTCTCTTCGTCTTTCGAAAAACGGGGGAATGTATTTTCTTTTTCTCTCTTCCTCTCTCTTTATCTTTTATTATCGGTTCTTCTTCGTTTATCGAATCGTCGTTCGAAACGGATATAAATCAAACGAAATTCCCCGTTAGAAATTTACCCGCCCTCGGTATAATTTATACGTTACACGCGGCTTGGTCGGCGTATAAAAATTCGTGGCGTGACATTCAATTTATCATCGACAAGGGAGCTCATTCAGACGCGGGATCCAATGCGTTCCGTAATTTCCGCGCGTGATACTCGCCACCAACACAAACCTTCCATTCCTCGTCGGTTTAACCTCTTTTTTTTTTTTAACTTAAATTTAAATGTATAATCCTATAATTCACTCGATATCGAATAATTTATGGAGATAAATTAAAACCGTACCTTTCTAAAAAAGTATTTATAAACGAATGTCGCGTCTTTAATTAAATATACGAATTTTTCGTATATTCGGGGGAAAGAAGAAAAAAGAAAAATTTATATAAAAATACGAAAGAAGAAACGATTCGTATTCGGTGGTCGATTTGTGAAAGCGAAGCGCAGCTAATTTCGCATCCTCATTCCGCCTCGCCATATCGATCCTCCTCCTCCTAAGACCGAAAGAACCGATAAATCACCGATCCGCTTTTACAATCCGCCAATTCTCGCTCCTGAATCTTATTCATTTATTATCGACGTTGAAACACGTTGCGAAATCAAATCATCTCGTTTCAGTAAATTTTTCCATTCGCCCGATTTTCACGCGAAAAAGTTGACGGACTCGAGGATTTTTTCTGCCTATTCCCAGGATTCCGATCGTCGATCCCTTTATTCTCGAGAAAGATGAGGAGGACGAAATGAGAAATTTCCAAGGGAGGGAACGTGCTTTACGCGCTGCTTCCAAAATGTATTTTAAGCGAACCAGGTATACGTTCTATTCCACGATGATTCATGGTGGAGATTTTTGGTACGATTCTATTACGAAGCTTGTAAACTGGAGACTTTATTCGTTACTTTGTTAATTAAAATCTGGCCGTGACGTCGCCTGATTACGCCCCGTTTTATTAATAAACTGGAAACGAGGCTTTAGCAGAATTCCAAGTAAATCCATTGGAACTCGGAATTTCTTATACCTCCTTTTCAACAGTGTTAAGAGATTGTCCCACGAGCCAACTTTGCCGATTCCATTCCCATTCGATTTTCCACTCGTTCTTTTTCAAAAAGAATGCGAAATCCGTCCCGAAATAAAAATTGGATGATTTATCGATCTATCGTTGTCGTTCGACAGTGAAACATCCAGCAATGAAATTCCATAGTGTTACAACACCGACGATAACCCTTCGATCCACGATTCTTTCGCTCGTTGCGTTGCGATTGTTCTTCGTTTCTGGAGGATTGCGCGAGAATGAGATACGAGGAAGGTTTCGACTGTGAGAAAAGGAAATTCTTTGGAAAATTGCATTTTTTCACGCGGAGAAAAAAAGTTGCCCGGAACCAGACGAACGATAGTTGGAATTTTCTTGGTTGAAAAAAAAGGAAAAAGAAAAGAAGAAGAAGAAGAAGAAGAAGAAGAAAGGGAACGGAGGAAATAAAAGGAGCGGTTGGAATGTTGGACGCTTTTTCTCGTGGTTCAAGGCGCCAGTTTCGGTTTCGACGTTTCAATCTCTCTCGAATCGGTCGCCGCTGCTGCGTTTTGGGAATCGCGGGCACGAGAGGAAGCTGGACGAATTAATATCGTGAATTAATTTCTCAAAATCGAGGAGGATCGAGAGAAGCGTCACCGCGAAGGGAGAGAAAGTTAATTTTATTCGTGTTTGCGACTTTCGTTAAGAGAATAACAATTTTTAATTTGACCGGCCGGGAACAGGAGACCAGGTCGAAGATTCGAGTTAACAAGAGAATAACTAACGAAGCGTTAATCGTTGGCAATACTCGTTAAAAAGATAGATTAAAAAGATAGATTAAACTCTTGTTCGAGATCTCCCCGAATTTCAATCTCGTTCCCTTTTCTAGGAACTATTTTCATATTTCCCGCGTTATCCGGGAGAAGATCGCCGGGAAGCATCCCAATTGTCACGGCCCTGGCCGCTATTTTTGCTATCGTCCGCGCGATATTTATAACAACGGACTTATTTCACCGTCGACACGACTTCTGTCTGTCGTGGAGCGACTCTCGGATTCACGTTTGAAACGTGCCGCCTCCGATAGTCGAAAAAGCGAATCCTTTGGAAAGCGGGGCTCTATTTTCCCTTCGCGCTTTTTGCGTGTAATTGGAATATTGGAAAGAAGAAACACGGGGAAAATCACGTCGGCTTTGACCGCGTCGCGTCAAATCCGGGTTAATTAATCGTGATAGGCGTCCGATTTCAAAGGCGACGGATTAAATTCGTTATCGCCGAATCATCTCCGTTCCATTGTTCCCTTAATTAACCCCCCCGTTCATACTTACGTGCGACGACGAGGCTGCGTGTAATTAATAGCGCGCATCCTATTTTTCCCCCTAGCCGCATTTCGTATTTTCCCCTTTGATCACGATGCCGCATTACGCCACCAGCCTTTTTATCTCCTCCTCCTCCTCCTCCTCTTCTTCTTCTTTTTTTCCTTCCTTAAGCGGCGTGCAAAAAGCGTGCTCAGATTTATGTATCCCTCGTCATGGATCTCTCTCATGGATGGATTAATACAGGAAGATGATACAAGATGATACAACAACAACAAGCGCATCAGTAGTTGCGGGTCGTAGAGCGTAAATTAACAATTATCGATATCGTTTTATCCGAGCACGATTTCGTCTCGCGGAGGATCGATTCGATTGTTTACCCGTGGATCCGTGAAATATCGTTTATCGCTTTTCACTCGAGATTCTCGCTCCAGTCCAGTTAAGACCACGTTTCAGAAATGGTGGAATATGGGTCCCGTATATACACGGAGCGTTCGAGGATCCATTAATCGAGACAAATTTTCCGAGAGGAGGGTCCGGAGAGAGGATGGGTCGAGTCGAAGTGTTATACCGGCTATTAACAATTTTACGATCTATCTCACGGCCGCTAAATGTTATTTCAAATAACCCGTGAAACGCGTCGTTGAGAAGACGCCGGATTAATTTGGTCGGGACACCGTGGAATAATTTCCAACTATCTCGCGTTGCTTCCCACTACCACCATTGTGACGCTCATTGTTCCTTGTTCCAACCACCACCACCGCAACGAACCCGATGAAAATTCATTAACGCGAATATTTGCGAATAGATGTCCGCGTAATCAGGATGTTCTTCGGCTTCGCTTCATTAATTTTCCAACGTTGAATAGCCCACGCGACAACAACATCGTGTAACCACGGGATAAATCTTTTCATCCGTGATCTTCCAGGCCAGACTTCTTTTCATCGATCGTTTGGCCTCTGATTTACGAGAGAATGAATGTTAATTATTGCGACGAAAATGTCGTTTTAGTTTCTTTTCTTTTCTTTTCTTTTCTTTTCTTTTCTTTTCTTTTCTTTTTTTCGAAAGGAAAGGAAAATGTAATTTTTATTTCACGAGAATAATCGTGGAACGCGAGGGTTGCAGTTCGATCATTCGTTCTGGAACTTGACCGTCCAACCATTAATAACGGTCGCGTATCACGAATTGACGGATCGATGATCTATTAATCTATCGATATATATCGTATCAAATGGAATCGTATAACCGATCATTAATACGATACGTATCCCATAAATTTCCTCGAAATTTCGCCTCGAAAATCTTGGTCTTGGCCAATCGTTCGAGTGTCATTTCGGGTTATATCGCTTTTATGGTTAATGAAATCCGTCTCGAGCATTGACGTAACGTGTACGAGAAATAATCGTTCTCTCGTTTTTCAACAGGAGGAGAAGGAATTGACCCCGGAAGAAGCGGAGTTCATCCAAAAAATCAAGTCGAAGATGTGAGTGAAAATCTTCGTTTATTCATTTTTCTCCATTTTTCTTTTTTCTTTTTTTTTTTTTTTTTTTTTNTTTTTTTTTTTTTTTTTTTTTTTTTTTAATATCTATACAAACAATATCTCGCGTTGCTGTTTCTCTATACCGTATAGATATTTAATTTGGGTAATTATAATACAATTTCATAAACATGATAAATATAAATCGCAGTTCAGTTTAGTTTCGTATTCGAAATACGAATTTCGAAATTGACCGAGAGAGAAATTCCGAGGGGAGAAAAGTCGAGTTTGAGCCTGTTACTCGTGAATCCGATCTCGAAATAGTTTGATGATCGCTGAACCGTAATTTTAGTCTAAAGTGTAGGTTGCATGACGCAAATCGAGGCTGTCAGGGAAACAGGAAATCGTTGCGGATATTTGCCGATTTCGCGATAATTCCTTTCGATTACGACGCCTCGTAAGAACGTCCAATCAATCTAGCACCAACTTTCTTTTTTCTATTCCCGCCATTTTCGTCCCCGAACGAAACGAAACAAGCTTCGAAGCTTCGAGCACAAGGTATATATCAAGTTTTTCTCATCACTCAGTTGGAAAGGAAAAACGAACCAACTTATTTTTCATTAACTCCCCTTTCCTCTTTAAAAAGTATTACACGCATTCGTCAAAATAATAGCGTGGTGGTGTATCGTGGTGGATATCTCTTTTTCTAATTTTTATTATCCAAAAACGTTGCAGAAAAATTTGTCTCTCACCGGAGAAATCGATGTAATCATCACCACCGTTATTATTATTATTATTATTATTATTATTATTCTCCTTAAGGGTATATAAATAGGAATAGGAAATCTAATTCTGAAACGAAGTTATTCTCATTCATTGACGTCACCAGAACGTCGTTGTCATCGTTTGAACATTCATCAACTCATTATACTCATCGTTCAATTTTCCACGCGAGTCTGCGTTAAGCAGCTTAACAAAATCCCTTTATGGGAAGAAAAAAAAAAAAAAACAAAAAAGAAAAAAGAAAAAAGAAAAAAAAAGGAAAGAAACGAAAATCCGGCTTACCTTGACATTTTTTTCACGTCATTTCGTTTCGAGATGAAAAGTTTTTGTTCAAAAATTTTCACACGCGAGAATATTATTACGCAAGAATATTATTACACAAGAGTATTAAATCGAGCCGAAGGGTGGGGGGAGGGGAAGAGGGAGGAGGAAAGCCCAAGTTGAATACATTTTCTCGCAATAATATTCCATTGGAAAAATGTCTCTACCGTCCGTTCTAACGCGATTCCACACGCTCGATGCGAGACGAAATTAAGAACTTGTAGCGTAAGTGCGTTGGTGGGAATCTTTTTATTTTTAGTTAGACGCGCGTGCACCTCACCGTTCCTTTGACGCGTGCACCGAACAAACTTCTCCTCCTCCCTCTCTCTCTCTCTCTCTCTCTCTCTCTCTCTCTCTCTCTCTCTCCAAATCTCGCACACCGTATCCCGTTTGTTCCACCGTTTGCACAATTTCGTGGATTCTCGAATTCGAACCTTGGAACCATCAGCGTTTATCGCGTAACTCGAGCCGTCGAGGGACATTTCAAAATTCGCTTCTAATTTCTAACATCGGAGAAATTGGGCAAATTTCGACGATAACGTTCGCTCGTAACGCGATTTGATTCGATTCGATTCGATTTGATTTGATTTGATTTGATTTACCTCGCGTCATTCTCGAATTTATTGTTATTCGCGTCATTCCTCTTGGAACGAATCTTTTTATAGCGCGACCATGTGTCCCCCTCCCTTCCAAAATAATTTTTCCACTTCGAAAATGAAAGACGGCGAGGCACGTGCATTTTTCCGTGCAAGTTTTTCAAAGAGTGACGTACGTACCGGGAATATAAATGACCGGAAATGTAATATAAAATTGCAGAAATGTGGTACGATCCATGGAACGTCTCTACGCCGTGCCATCGGAACAGCTGCGTGTTTGGTTGATCTGGCTGTCGAAAGTAGGAGACATGGCTGACGAATGGCACAAATGGTTACGCTCTCACATCGACTTCGTTCTGAGACTGTCGATAGAGCTGCGGGCGGCCGAGGAAATTTTAATATTGGAGGTAAGGTTTCGCCCTTCGCGCGACCAATTGCCATTATATTTAATCGCCAATTTTCATTTCGAGGATAATGAAAAATGATGGTTACGTTTACGCGAGGAAGATGGAACTTTTTTTTTTTTGCCCCGGTAATTAATTAATAAATTAATTAACTCGCAGCGAGCGAGTGTTGCACGCCACGAAATCGTGTTATCGCGAAAATATATATATTTGATACGAGTTTAAATTTTGATGTAAATGAATTAACGTTGGATAACTCTAACGTGGTAAAAGGATTTCTTGGTAAAGTTAAATTAATACAAATGCGAAAAGTTTCCTTTTGGGAGATTATTCGTGTTCTTGAAATTATCTCGAGAATTCTCCGGGGAGCGAATAAGCGTTAAATCTCCGGAGAAGAATTCGCGAGAGGTCGTCGTCGTCGTCGATTTCACGAATTCGATCCAAGATCCTACCAAGAGCCTATCAGATATCGCTTTTCAATAGTTTGGTGGTGGTGTTGTAGGCAACGTTACTCGATTCCGCGATCGAAGTTGCAACTCTCCTCCTATTCGGACCATCGTCGCACAAGCGTCGTCGTTAACAAAAGCCTTGTAACACTGTACGCTGCCGATACGCGTTTCTACGCTCGTATAAATGCATACCGAAGTAGAATTCCAAACAATGACGCTTCTGCGAGAAATCTGAAATTTCAGCGTAAATTAGTCAAGAATCGTTACCTGTCCTCCTTTCGAACAAGGGGATGAACAAATATTTCTTCGATTGCGAAGAGCGCGAAACTTTCTCTATCTCGATCGAAAATTTATCGATTCGATTCGAACTTGTGTTGCAACGAAGGATGCATTTTTTCCCCCCTTCTTTTCCAAAATTATAATATATTTTCGTCAAAATTTCAACTTTTATCGCGGATAGAGGCCGACCCCCTTTGAAAAAGTCTGCTTTGAAACTGGTCCAAATTTAACCGGAAATTAATTTCGTCGTCAAACTTGTTTTCGTCGCGTTTCCAGCGACCGTTGTCGAAGATTTACTCACGGACGAACTGCTATTCCTTTAACCTTGAGCTTTAACCGAGTCTCTTCTCGAACAAGGCTCAGGTGTCGGCCACGATTTTTCACTTTCGTTTCCCGAGATTTATACACAAGCACGCTCGAACGGGTTGGGGAATGCGTTTAAATCTTTCTCGTCTAGTCTTCCCGTGTAGTCGAGTCCTCGCGAGTGATTTAGCAAAGGAAAAATGGAGGGAAGACGAGGAGGAGGAGGAGGAGGCAGAAGCGTCTCGAGAAACGTTACTCGCGCACGTGTTGCTCGTTTCAAGCGCGGGGGCGGTTGACCTTGGGGACCAAAGTTAGTCGAAAACGGTCGATCAATCGTCGGTACGTTCGGTAATATATTTAGTCGGGAGTGCAATGGGCCACCTTCGTGGCCTCCAACGGTTGAACGGGAAAAAGGCGACAGGGTCACGGCGAACCGTAAATTAAAATCAGGTCGTGGAACGTGGCAGGGATAGGGTGAATCTAGAGGCCGAATCGATCGATCGTGTATCGAATCGTTTGGTTAGCTATTAACGGGAACCGCGACCGATTAGGAGATCCACCCTCTAATCCAAAGTGCATATTTGCCGCGTAATTCTAAACTGTCTGCCGATCGATTTATGCAGCTCGACCAACGACCGCCGCCTCACGTTCCTCTCGTTCCTCTCGCAAACCGACGCGGGTAGATAAGCCCGCCGGTTTAATTTTCCATTTTAATATGCATTAATCGGTCGAACGTTTTGTTTGCTCCAGTCAAACTTTCAACGGATTCGTCCCCCTCCCCGAATCTTTCTTTTCCTTTTTTTCTTTTTCTTGTCTTCTTACCCGGGAGGGGTTATAAGTTACATCGGTTTCAGAGGCAGGGACCAATATAATTCTGTCATCATGTGTTTGCGGTTTCGAAGCAAGCTTTAGAAAATAGTTTTTCGAATACGGGGTAATGTCGAAGGATCGCAGATGCTCGAGGTTGATAGGTTGATAAGAATTATTATTATTATTAATTTCGAACAAGCGAAAAGCGTTCGATACGATCGCGATATAACAGAGTATCGCGGAGTGAGACTTCCTCCTTCTCTCTATATTCTCGATATTTTGGCGAAGGAATCGATATCGAATCGTTTATGCGAGAGAATTTTATTTTCATTCCTCTCAAAATGTTCTCTCCTTCACAATTTTTTCGTTTCTAATAGAAAAAGGAGGAAGAACCGGAGGATATAAAAAAGGAAGAGGAAGTCAAAGTGGAAGCCAAAGTCGAAACCAAAGTCGAGACTAAAGAGATCGAGACGAACACGAAGGATGACATACAGGAGGAGACGAAGGAGGAGACGAAGGAAGAGACGACGGAGGAGACGAAGGAGGAGACGAAGGAGGATACGAAGGAGGATACGAATGAGGACGAAAAGGTGGAGGAAATAAACAACCAAGAAGCGGAGAATCCAAACGATGGTAAAAAAGATATAATTTATATAATTTGTATAATTTAATCCAAGATTTCTTCTATTCGAGGCAATACAAAACGGTGAGGGTACGCGATAGCCAATGAAGGATCGGGCAATTTAAACTGTGAAAGGTGTATTTCATCGATTGGCATCGAGCTTATCGCGAAATAAATCTAAAAGGCGACGCTATTTTTTAACGAACATTTTAAACAGATTTCACCAGAAAAAGATGCCCCGACAGGATTATATCCAGAATTACGTCCCTTATCTTGGAATTCCATGTATTTGAACAAGCAATTACACGCTTAAATTTCCACGCTAAATCGTATTAAATACGTGGAAAAAGAAACGAAAAGAGAGTTTCCTTTCTGTTTCGTCCCCCTTTCTTGCCTCCGTTGTCACGATGAAACAAAGAGCCGCTTGACACTTTTTTCGTCTCGATAAAGAAAAAAAAGGAAAGGAGCCTCGAAGAGCTTGTGCCCATCATTTTTAACTGTTTTAAGACGAAGCGTTTATCAACGCGCGATTAGAACCATGAGGATTTGTTTCCCCCATTGATTTGGGGAACCCCTATCCCCAATGGTTTCCATTGTTGCAGACGATGAGATGGCAGAGGAGGAGAAAGAGAGAGATGAGGCAGAAGTACCGGCAGAAGAATTGGAGGAAAAACCGAAACTCGAGTTGATAATGGAGGAGGAGGAGGAGGAAAAAAAAGAAGACCTAGAAGAAAAAAGAAGAGAAGAAGAAGAACGAGAGACGGAAGATGTGGAGGAACCGGTAGTGACTGAAGTAGAAGAGAAAAAAGAAGACGAAGTGGTGGAAGAAGAAGAAGAGAAGCCGTCGATAGTGATAACGGAAGAGGTAGAAGAGGAACAAATTATAATAAAGGAATGGCCTGTGGGCATTCCGTGGGAACATTTAGGGATAGAGGAAGAGGAGGAGAAGCCATTTAACGAGGTAAGAACTTTCGCCACTGTTGTTTAAAGATATCAGCCGCCAAGCTTTTATCGCGACTCACTCCTCGCAATCACTCCAATCTTACGAGCAGAAGTCTCGCTAAACTTTGCCTTCTTTGCTCTTCGTTGCTCCCAACTTGCAAAACTTTCGTTTACACGCTGTAAACCGTTGTAANAAAAAAAAAAAAAAAAAAAAAAGAGAAAAGAAAAAGAAAAGCGAGAGTTTCTTTGCAGCGATTGCCCATACCCAAGAACGAGGCGGAGATGAAGGATTTCTTGAGGAAGTTCACGCACGAGGCGACCATCCATCGATCCTCCTTTAAGCATTGGAAGGATACCGCGGATCAGGTAACGAATAAATTGTCTTTTCTTTTCTTTCTTTTCTTTTCTTTCCTTTTCTTTTCTTTTTGCTCGCTTGATTAAAGTCGAGAATCGTTTCGCTTCAGGCTGTCAAGGAAATTGGAAACAGACTGGTCATGGCTACGTTCCTGGTGCAAGGGAAAGATCCGTCTGGAGAGGTAAAGAAACCGGTCCCTAAAAAAGTACCCAGCAAGCCCAAAAAAAGTAAGAAACCTTTTTTGATATTAATCGGAGAAAACGGTGTAGTATCCGCACACTGGATACAATGGAAAGTGTTTGAATATAATCGAAACAATATCGTCGACAGTAAAATCAGTCCAAAAGAAGGCGAAGAAAAAGAAAGTTGCGTCGCCTGCGAGGAAGACGAACGGGGAACCGGAGGAAACGGAAGACACAAAAATGGAAATGGTACGATATATGTGTATATATATATTGATTAATTTGCAATTTCTTTTTTCCATCGTCGGATTTTTCGTTCAATTTTGTCGAATGATTACGGACCGTTTCTGATTTCATCCCGGAAAAAAGAAAAAAAACATTTTACTTCTCATCGAGGGAGAAAAGGAAAAAAGTCGATCGATCAGTTTCGGATCGAACCAGTCGACCAGATGGTTTTCTTTAGAAATGTAAAAACCTAGACGAATGGATCGTTTGCCACTGAAAGGATCCGTTTTTATCTCCATGTATTATTGTATTTGCTCGTTGCTCCCTTTAGCTCCGAGAATTCTCGTTTCGGTTAGCCGTTTCATGTCCCCTTCTCGTTTCTAATTTTGTTCCACGTTTGTTCCACGACTGGGGGACGTGTGCTTCTTGATTTTTAGTTTCTTGTCATGCTTTTTAACCTCCATTAAAACCGACGTGACGAGGGAGAGAAGAGGGGGAAACGAAGACGGAACAGCGATGGTGGTTTTTGCGCGCAAGTAGAAAGAACCGGCAATGGTCGGACGGGCGGACGCGGTAGTCGCGCTCTATAAATTGTTTTTTTTTTTTTTTTCATTTGCAAATGAAGAAGATAGTACGAGGTTGTTAAACGTAGTGATAGCTTATTCGATAGCGCGATAATTACAAAGAAAGAAAGAAAAAAAGAACTACTTTAATCGCAATTTCTCGCAATTAGGTAATTTTGGTAATGGGTTAAGAGTGTTTGTGTGAATCAAGGAAAATTTTTTTTAATCCTCTCCTTTCCTCCATTTTATAATATTATATATATATATACGATCAAAGGATGAAGAGAAGATATCGCGATGAATATCAGATCCACGCGAGAAATTTTCCAAAATTTCTAATTGCTTCCTGTTAAATATCGAATCCAGTTATCCGTTGCAACAAACGATCCACTCGCTCGTTCTATTTTCTTTTTTTTTTCATTAATTCTTCTCCCTCGACCATCGCTCGAATTGTAATGTTCAATTTAGCGTGATCTCTTTTGACGCGATGTTCGATTGGTGTCGAAATTGAGGATTAAAGGAAAGTTCGGCTCTTGTTCGAAGCCAATTTTCGATTCTCTTTTTTTCGAAAAGCTTTTTTTTTCCAATATATATATATATATACACATATATCCGATTCCTCGCATGGACAAATTGCACGAATGCTTTCCGTTTCACGCCTTCTTCCTTTATTAATATTTGCAGACCTCGAGTAAAAGGAATTTGGAAATTCGCAAAATGCTCGATATTGACGCGGATGATTTAGTGAAAGACTCTGCACGTGGAATGGAACCGTTGCCGTACTTCTTCTACCTGAAAGTGGAACCGGACATCGACATAGCTATAGAGCACGATGACGAGAAGGTGATCCTGGCCGACACCGAGCGCGAGAACATAACCGGTGATTACCAGCGGCTCTACTTCAATCTTTCGGATAAACCTTGCAAAGGAGGGAAACCGTGGATATTGTAACACGAGGAGAACATATGTCACTAAAAAGCGTATACAAGCAACAATAATAAAATAAATTCTTGCAGCTAAACTCTTGGTCGGATTACTATTAACGAATATTCGAATCGTGATCGAAATAGAGATCGTGATCGAGAAGGTAAATGAAATGATACGTAATAATTGATAAATATTTTTCATCGGGGAATTGAACGAAAGGAAGAAAGAAAGAAAGAAAAAAATAACGAGTCAACCGTGTAATGAAAAATAATAGAGCTGCATCGAGGTATATAATTCATACGGTTCGTTCGTGAAACAAATATCCGATACACGAGTGGAACTAAGAGTGAAATGAGAGAGAGAATTCCCGAATGAACGAGTCGAAGAGAGGGGGGGATGGGGAGGAAAGCTAAAAATTCATGGCTCTTGCCACAGAAAAATCGAGAATACCATCGTGAATTCTCTACCGGGATTATAGAATTAAATTTTCCACCATCGATTTCTAAATATACCCCCCCTCTCGTTCCCCGACCATTTTTTAATCAGTTCTCTACGGTCATGCGTCTGATGTCCGAGTGACGATAACGGACAATAACGAAGCGTGCGAGAAAAATAAGGAAAGATGGAAAATAATGGAGATCGTCCATTAAAAACTGGTATAATCCCCGATCCTCGGTTACGATTCCCGACACGATGGCTCGTAATAAAATTCATCGATCGGCGATGAGGGGGAATGCGGGAAAAAGTTCTAAACTCTTTCCTCCGCCATTTTTCGCACGGCAGCTGCCTTTTCCGACGGAGCTCGCCGGACCAGGTGACTCTTCGAGAGCGAATTCTACTTCGGCTGCATTTAGATTCCGTGTAATATCTGGATTCGACATCAAAGACGCTTTCCTGTCAGAATCATCCGACATAACCCGGAGTCGGATCCAGCGTATGGCCAACAGCTTATTATACAACATCAAAGCTATCTCCCGTGTTCGTACCGCCTTGTCGGATAGGAATTTTACGTAACGCGCAAAGATGTATTTTTTCCTCTTTGAATCTGTTTTTATCGATTATCATTACGGACTCTAATTTAATTTCAATTCTCCGAGTCCATACGATAATACGATTCGTAAATCAACATGAACAACATCGATACAACATTATTTTATTTTACCTTTTTTTCTCTCATCGTTCGTGCCTTCTCAGAGAGATAATTGAAAATCGAATTCGACTCGAAGGTGGATCCGTCTCCACGTTTTTCTGTACACCTTCCCTCGTGTATAGCGAGAAAATTTTTCGAAGCATACAAATCAACGAGGGGGCGAAAAGCAATCGAAAACTCGAAAAGGGAAGTTTGTCGCGAAAACTTTATAAATTCTGGGTTTGTCTCGCGCCCCAAGCTTACCGATGTCGCGGCAAGCGTTCAACATCGATCGGCTCCGGCCTCCGATATTATATTCGGTCGCGAGCGAATTTCGAATAGAAGCGGGGAAAGGAGAGAGGAGGGAGGGGGGAAGGAGGTCTAATTAAGAAGTACACAGGTGTAATTACGAGGAACACGGTGTGCGGCGTATATGTATAGATATATGTATATGTACGCATGGATCGGTTGGCGCATTATCCACGGGGTGTAATTAATTTCCAACGATAACAAGTTTCGAGGTGTCCATGGTTACGACGACGTCCTTGCGTGAGTCGGTGAGGGGTGTTTTCCATCGAGCAGAGGGTTAACACGAAGAGCCGCGAAGAAAGTGAGGTAAGAGGCGATACTCGGAACTCGGTTACCCCCCCCCAAGTTTTCAGGGGTTGGTTATTTGATTTCACGTTGAACTTTCAGCTTCTGGAGAGATTCTGGACAATCTGCATGAGCTCCTCCTCCTCCCCTTCCTCCTCCTCCTCCTCCTCCGTCTTCTCGTTTCTTCTCGGAAGTTTGGGTAGAACGGTAGAAAGCGAGACTTGATGTTCGTTAGGTAAGGGTAAACGAAGCTCGATAACGATTTCTTCTCTCTCTCTCTCTCTCTTTCTCTTTGGAAACGTACGAATCAAGTTTTGGAGGGAATGGTAATAAGAAAAGAAAAGGAAAGGAAAAAAATTAGTTAGTAAAAAGGTAAGAGGATATATTTTAACCATTCTCGAGAGAAAGAAATTTCGAAAAAAATTCCTCTCCCTGAAAGTTTTCGATATTTCTCCCGAACATTGTTCCCTTTTCCTTCTTTTTTTCTGCCTCCCCGTTATTTCTTCGGGCAACTTCTACCCCCGTATTTACATCTCATTAATTTTAACGACTACTGACTTTTTTTCTAGGCGACACATCGAGGGCCTTCGAGTCGAGAAGAGCGGAGGAGGGCTTCGTTCAAGGCTTGGAAGATTACTTTTCGGCGCATATAATTTTTAAAACAAATTTCCTTGGAGAGGGGTGAATAAGGATGACCGATTTAAAATAGTCGGGGACGAGTCGAGGGGGCGGAAGAGGCTAATAAAGTTCAAAGGGTCTGTTTATCAGCCAGGATATTACGAGAGCCTTTTATAACGGTTCCTTCGTAGAGAGCGCGTTTTATTTCGCTACTCTTCCCCCCTCACCCCTGTTAATTTCATTTGCGTCGAAACGATTCGAGGATCGAGCACCGAAAGTCCGAAAAAAAAAAAAAAAAAAAAGAAAAGAGAAAAAAGAAAAAGAAAGTTGCTTCTTTCGCTCGAAGATCGTCAAGATCTATCGCGATCTATCACCGTGTCCGTGATTTATCGTTGAAAAGTGGCACGATTCGATCCATGATATAATGACGCGCGCGTGGAATAATTTTTAAATCTATGCGCGTATCGATCTATCTTGCGACGAGTTCGTAGACAAACAGAAACGGTCCACTCTGTATTAACCGTATCGGTATGAAGCGTGATTTACAACCGGCAGTATAACAGTTCGCGTAGGATGGCGGACTATCTGGTATTTTCTGAGCTCTCCAGTTGCCGTTTGATTTATAATAGCTGCATCGGTTATAGATGCTTCCAAGAATCGTCGATCCCAGATAACGATCGATTTTATCGAGTTTCGTGATGGGGAATAAAACTCGAGCCCGCCATATTTATATTTCGCCGAAGTTTTAAATTTTTCTTCCTTTTCTTCTTCTTTTTTTCTCCCCCCTCTCTCTTCAAAAGAATAGACGCTGTTTAATTGGGATCTATTGTTCCTCCACGAGCGGGCCGCTCTTGACTTTGAAGTGGCTTGCCACTTTTAACTTTGCAAACGTTTGCTCGCGAAACACACGACGTCGGGCGCCTGTACCGGTGAGAAATGCCCCAAGGTATACAACGGATCTGTCGAGGAAAAGTCTGTCGAGGGCCTGCCGGTGGAAAAACTCGGAGAAAATTGGATAACCATACGTGACTGCGCGTGCGTGTGCCTGCGTATCGGCAAACGGAAGGGACACGGAATAAATAACAATCTCTTCTATCCTGTCCTGGAAAACCGTAAAAAACGTTCGCGAGAACGAAGGATCGTTTCGTCGTTCCCCTCCTCCTGTAAACTCGACCATCTCGAAAATGGCTCGAGGCATAGAAAAATTATTATTTCGGCCTATTTTCCTCCGGTTTGAAAAGCCGGAGGACTATTAATACGATTCGAACACTGTCGAGCTAGCGGTGATTTATTGTTCCAATCGCGGCGCACGAAATACAGGGAAAGCAGTTTTGAATCTAGGCTTATCGATCACGGAGCCGAACTGCATGGAGCCGAGTCGAATCTCCTTCCCTCCCTCCCTCTCTCTCTCTCTCTGGAACAGTAGAAACAGACGGTCATATGTTAGCCGCATTAGTACGACGAGTGACTTTCAATCAAGTTACGCTAGCAACCCCCGTTCGCTCATAGAGAGCACACCTCAAACGTCGATATTCGAATTCGTGTCTCTTCCCCCATTGATCCCGGTGAACGATCGAACGAGCACACAGTTTCTCTGCACGAGCACAGTTTCCTTTCGTAACTCGATTCGAGAATCGCGATCGAGAAGAATTTATGAATCTATTTCGGATAGCATACTCGATCGTGGCCTTATTCTCGAATCGTTTTTTTTTTTTTTTTTTTTTCGTTTTCCTCCCTTTTCCCCGATCGAATCAAAAGAATCGAAATCGTTCAGATCTAGAAATCGGATCGCTCGAAATGAAAATGTTTGCGAGCCGTGTCTCGTAATAATAAGTCATCGCCGCGTGCTCCAGTTTCAACGAAAGGGGGGGTAATAAGGCGTAACGAGAAATCGATATTACGGTGAAAACAACGAGTAAACAAACTCGTGAACGAAAACGAAATTTTTATCTCGAGGTTTTCGGGAGGATAATTTATAATTTTTTGGACGGCGGAGATGTATAAACGATCCCGCGAAACGAATATAAAAATTGCGGGAGGAATTCGCGGGCGATTCGTTAAAATTTTTCACGGTGAATAACGGTGAAAAATCATGGAATCTTTAAAGTATATAAATGTTTCCCTGTTGCCCCTACTCACCTCCAGCAACCCTTCGAAATTCGAGGGTTCAGCAGCTTATTAAAAAAACGTGAAATCACCGCGATATCATCGCGCTGAAGTCGTTGCAGACTTAATACGATACTCATTAACCAGTTATCGCGGCTGAAATACGTAAGTGAGATTTATTAACGTTTCGTGGCACGGTTGGGATCGTACGTGCTCACTGCGCCGTGGTATCGCGATTTTTTTCATCTTTGCAGGCTTACGAACCACGTGGGGGAGAGAGAAAAAAAAGAGATAATTGCGTTATCTCGCAAGCAAAACGAGCTGATTGCGATTACCTTTTTTTGTTTTTTCTTTTTTTCTTTTCCAAGGTAGTGGATCTTGTTTATCATCCACGAGATTGGTCGAAACAGAAGAGGGGGGGAGGGAAACGAACGGTAAACGTGCACGGAAACGATGCCTCGATCATTTTATCGTTTTTCAGGATCGTTGATTGTAATTTCTCCAACGAGGGAGGATGGAATACAACGGAATACACCAGATGCCTTTTCCCATAAAAAATTTTTAAACGTTTCTCGACTAATTACGCGAGAAACATCGTTCTCGTAAATG